TTCAACAACCACGAGCAAATTCAACAACCACTTCCAATGCCCTACACAAATTAAAATAAAAATATTATATAACATTAATAATTAAATAGACTCATAACTAGATAAGTAACATAAACTTGGCATTACCGCTTTTTAATCATGATCAATAATAGATATAGAATTAGAATATTGAGCAGATATAACTTTATTCGACTTCATATTTTAATTGAAAACATCATCATCTATTTCCCCTATGAATCATCACTAGAATCATCTACAACTAAGCACAACAAAACATAAACGAATTAATGATTACATGAATTAGGATAATGAGAAAAATAATACTAGTAAAATGGAATCAAACTTACTGCTCTTCCCATGAATCCAATCTCTTGTACAAATCAAAGTTTGGACAATTTCTGGCAATAGTGAACTTCGATACTTATTCAAAACTCTACCACCGGTACTAAATACAGATTCAGATGCAACTGTAGATATAAAAATTGTCATCACATCACAAGCCAATCGAGACAATATAGGATGCCAAAACTACTCTCCTTTTCAAAAGGTTAGAATATTCAAGTCCTTCTTTCGATCAAGCTTTTTTTCATTAAAATACAATTGCAACTCAATCACTCGAAAAACAGGAGAATCTTCTTCTTCACGTTTTTCAAAATCCTACATTTTGTACAAAATCATTACCAATATATAATAAACTACCTTGATCACATTCAATTCAAATAAAATAAATTATATTTTACATGAAAAAGGCTTTCGAAATCATCAAGACCATGAATCTCGCTAACTTGTTTCTCACTACTTGAAGTATTTGGAACAACATGTGACAAGTTAACAGAATACAATTCAAAGAGCTCAAATAAAGTATCTTGAACACACTTGACCTCATAAGAATCACCACCATAAAGTTTTGAATAAGCCCAATCTACAAACTGAATTTTGTACCGAGGATCTAAGATGATAGCAATTGAAAGAATCACACTATATTTTGACCAATACTTGTCAAACTTGCCATACATATGACTTCCCATTATCCTCATAAAACTATCATTATCTGTCAATGCCTCCTTAAAAGTATGTTGAATTAGGAACACTTGGGTGAAATACAAATTAGCTATGGGATATGTTTACCAGAGAATAAGCAATTAACTTTATGAAACACTCTCAACAAATTAGAAATCTTATCTACTTTGCTTCATTCTTCTTGGGAAGGGCAATGTTTATAATTAAAATTATTCAACTGTAAATGAATAAATGTACGACAATAAAAAAGTGCACTGTCAAGCATAATATAAGTTGAATTCCACCTAGTTGGAACATCTCCTCGCAAACCTTTTTTACTTTCTAATGAAACTTGAGCAACACAATCCATGAACTTCTTTTTCCTTCCCGATGAACCTTTAACATATTTGATGCTTTCTCAAATTTTTATACTGATTCATCAATTTCTTTAAGTCCATCTTGGACTATCAAATTAAGAATATGAGCACAACACCGAACATGGAAGAATTCACCATCCCTCAAGAGAGCATTTTTAAAGTTAAGTTGACTCTTCAATAACTCAACAAAACAATCATTACTAGAAGCATTATCCAAAGTCAAAGAAAATAATTTCCTTTCAATTCCCCAATTAGTCAAAAATGTATAAATTTTCTCAGACAAGACAATACCAGTATGGGGAGGGGGCATGAGACAAAAGTTTTAAAATTTTTTTTTGTAACTTCCAATCTAGATCAACATAGTGGGTTGTGAGAGAAACATATCCATCAGTCGATATAGAAGTTCACAAATCAGATATCAAACAAATTCTTCCAGAAAGGGAGTCCAACACAATTTTAAGTTTATTTTTTTCTTTCTTATACATTTTTAACACATCTAACTTTGTTGTATTCCTAGAAGGCATCTTGATATTCTCATAAGCATACTTGAACATTGCTCTAATACCCTCATATTGGACAAATCGAAATGGTAAATCGTGCTTAAGTATTGCCTCAACCGCTAACTCACAAAATTTTTCAGGATCAAATTTTGTGGATCGCATTAGCATAGATCCTTGACCTTGACTTAGAAGTAATTGTCCAATATCCCCAGTGTCTTTTTTCACACATTTTTTCTATGTGAGTATGAATGTTACCAATTCCATGACTAGACCCACATATATATTTGATACCACAAATATTACACACAACACGTTTCTTGCCATCTGGATATTTTTCATTTAATACTGTAAAGTATTTTCATACTATTGAAGTCTTTTGTCGCTTACGATTAGATTTACCTCTTTCTGTAGTTGTACCAGTTGATGTCTGTGTTGTTGGAGCTATAACTACATTAGATTCATGTCCGACTTGATCTTCTTCATCAGAAATTATAATATTGTGTTCGAAAAAATCCATCAACTTAAAACAAAAAAATAGAGTTAAACTAATATCACCCCCAACACACATAACACACATAGCTAAATTTGTATCAGCATTCAAATGAAGATAGTGGAATTTGTTAAGCAATTTGTCTTCCTCATCAAGCATTCAAGCTACTATAAAGCAAGCCAATTTTTATGTGGTGTATTAATTATATAAGATAAAGAAAGAGGGAAAGTTCATTTCTAACATGTTTTATTTTTTTATTTTACAATCACATATCAATTTTTTTTTTTTTTTTTTTTTTTGCATAATCTAACTTAGAAAATACATGAATGTAAGTATGTAAATAGCAAAATTAACAACGAGACTCACATTATCCAATTTAAAATTGGGTGCTTCAATCATTTGTGCATGTTTCATTTCCCCTTACCAAATTTGCACTTTGACATTAAACTTCTGCAACAAAGTTGGAAGTATCTATGCTTGTTTTAATTTTCTTTTTTGTAACTGGAACACTTCTGTCATGAGCTAGAACAAGCTGTACTATGGGAGCGGCCAGAACAAAAGTTTGTTTAACACTAAACCGACGGTTCTAAATTAAGTTTCAACTATTCGATTTGTTTATAGTTTCAGCCGTTTGATTTGTATAAATAAAGTTTTAACAAATCAAGATCTAAAAAGAATGGAGATTCAGCCGACTAAAATACAGATCTAAAAAGAAACAAATCAACCACAAATCAAGCTTCAGTCGTTCATTCAATTCAACGTAGATGAAGATTTACCGACTAAAATACAGATCTAAAAACAAACAAATAAACCTAGAAATCAAGCTTCAACCATTCGTTCAATTCAACGTAGATGGAGATTTATCGACTAAAATACAGATCTAAAAAGACTAAAATCAACTAAATACAGATCTGAAATGTCTAAAGATTTACGGTGGTTAGCGACACTGTTCAGTTCAGCGTAGATAGAGAGAGGAGCAATACCAAAGCTTGGAGAGAGAGAGAGAGAGAAGAAAGAGAGAGAGTAGAGGTGGATGGCTTGGAGTGCTTCAGGCTTCAGTCGTTCAACGCAGATGACATTAGTTTAGGGTTTGAGAAAAATAACTTTATATATTTTCTGTATAGCTATCATTAAAAAAAAAATTGGTTAAGTTTTTTAAAATAATAATAATTTTTTTATTATATTAATTTTATTTAAATGAGTTAAATTAGTTATAAATGGATTAACAAGACTCACTCGAATACGACCCGTTTATTAAACGTGTTAAACGGATCAATCTGTTTATCACTTGAACCCGTTAATGTTTCACCAAAACCCGCTTAAGTTGTATCGATTCGTGTCGGTTAATTGTGTCGTGTTGGATTTTGACAGGCTTAATTCCAGTGGTGCAACGTGGTATGAACGAAAGCGTGCATTCCACAATGAGCTCATCGACTCTTATCACCCATTTGAACAAGCTGAACATGTAATTGTTGGTCTTGCAACTGATTATCCACCTCTAGGTGCTCATATCGAACCCACACTAATATGGCGACATTTATATGACAAACGTTGTGACCTTAAATTTTTTTGTCATCGGTATGGAATTACAGTACCAAAGGCACGTTTGACTGATATTTACAATTCATAGAATTCAAACAATCATGACGAGGTCATACCAAGGCTTGAACGTGAAAATTATCAAATGCAGCATTATCTTGATCGTTTTCATACACTCGATTATACAAAAACAGAGCATTTTGATCCTAAATATGCCGAAATTGAAATTTTAGAGGATCCATTACTTGTTTCTGATTCTGAACTTTTTGATTTCTCTAATTTGGACGATGATGCGTCTGACACTTTTATCACATCATATTTATGTGTATTCGATAATTCTTTATGTTGTTTTGAATATCTACCATATTATTTACATTTTTTTTACATGTATACGTTCTGAATTATTTATATTTTTATACAGCTTAATAAACATTAATTTCAACATGATCAACATTAAAAATAAAATTTTATTTTTATTTTATATATGTGTTTAAAATTATATAATAAAATGAAAATTAATTTTATGTCAACGTTTTCAATTTTTAAAGTTTGATTTGCTCAAAATTTAAGTATTTTTAAATGACCAAAATTTATTTATTGAATGTAATTAAATTTTTAAATAAAAAAAAACTCATCCTCTAAAAAAAAGAGGGAGTAAAATAGTTTTAAGAATCATTGTTAGAGAGCAAAACAATAAAACATCAGTAGGACAAATAAAAATTTATGTATTTTTAAATTATTAAAATTTATTTATTGAATATAATTAAATTTTTTAATAAATAAAAATTAAGCATTTTACTGATAAAAAAAAAAGAGAGAAAAAAACTTTCAGAAAGCGTTTTTAGAAATCGTCAATTAATTAAAACCGTCGGTCCAACTGATATTTTTAAATTGTGTTAGTAGTCGTATTGTTTATGCATAAAAACATCGGATATCTTTTGATTTAAAAAAATTACCCCACCTGACTTTTTAAAATACTTTCAAACTATCGCTCTTTTGTGAATATTTTTTTAAAATCCCTTGGTTTTGGGGTAAAAACCTCCCTGTTAAAAGGCCTATTGACCCCAAGTCCCCTACTACGCAAGTGAAGTCAAAAAGGAGCAAGACCTAGGACGATTAGGAAACCTCCAATGAGAGAAGAGATCTTCGGAGCTAAGTTTTTTTTTCGAAGTTATTATATTTCCCGTTCATTCCCATGATGATTAACTGCATACAGATCATTTTCAATCAGTTTTGCAGAAGAAGAAAATAACTGATCAAGAAGAGTCTGTCGTTCTAAGATGGCACAAGAATCAAGCTTTGATCGTCTCTGTGTTGATGATTTTTACTTCTCAGCACTCATGAGTGAGAATAATGAAGACGATCAAATTGTTCTGAGAGATGATCAAATCAATCCGATATCAGATTCCAAGTACGCTGAAGAATTGCAATTCCAAGAGGCAATAATGGCCTCTCTGATTAGTTCTCAAAATTCGAACAATTCTTCATCGAACAGTCTTGTTCCTTCTTCATCATCGACGATCCTACCAATTGCGATGGCGAATCCGGAACCGATGGGAGTAGCGAAAGAAGTTTGTGAATCATCGCAGAGCTTCTGCGAGATTTGTGCGGAAAGGAAAGAAAGCGATGACATGTTCAGAATTGACAAGTGTAGTCACTCCTTTTGTACTGATTGCATAAGCAAACATGTGGTGTGCAAGATTCAAGACAACATAAAAACTGTGAATTGCCCAGGTTTCGATTGCAAGAGTGTCCTTGAACTCGATAATTGCAGGTAGGATTGTCAATCAAATCTTATCGATTCATGTTCGTATCGTATGATACAGTTATTTATTGGGTTAATTGGTGTTGTTATTTTTAAGTTCGTGTCGTATTCGTGTTAATGAATAAAAGTGGGCTCTACTTGCAGGTCAATGATCCCCAATGACGCGCTTGTTCGGTGGGATGAGGTGATTTGTGAGTCACTGATTCTTGCTTCCCAGAAGTTCTACTGTCCATTTAAGGACTGTTCAGGCTTGTTGGTTAATGACACCGATGAAGTGATTAGGGAGTCGGAGTGTCCCATATGCCGGAGATTGTTCTGTGCGCAGTGTTACGTGCCATGGCATTCAGGGATTGAGTGTGAGGAGTATCAGAGACTGAATGAGGATGAAAGAGGGAGGGAAGATCTGTTGATGAGAGAGCTTGCTAGAGAGAAAAACTGGATGAGATGTCCTTACTGCAAATTCTATGTGGAGAAGACTGAGGGCTGTTTACATATGGTTTGCAGGTCAGTTTGTTTAATTCATGCGGAGAATTATATTTGTCATTTTGATGGTTGTAAGAGGCAAAAAATTGAGAATACCTCCTACACGGATTGAAAAATTGATGTGCTTCTGAACTTGATCTCCCAGCTTTCTCTCGCCTACAAAACGAACAAACTGTCCAAGATCGAAGTACTTCGATCGAAGGCACTCCTATGCTTAAGTAAGTAAAGATACTAGAACGAATGAAAGAAGACTAAGAGAGTTCAGTATACCTTTCACCTCGGCTCCTTTTGCTTTTTATAGACCATGTTCGGTTAAAGTTTTCTTGAATTTTGATTCAAGGTGACACACCTTGCTTCTAATTAGCGATTCAGTTTAGGAAGCTGCTGAAATCTCTCTGGCAGTTCCCTTGGCCTAGAATCAAGCTCTTAGTTCAACCAGAATGTCTGAATTGTAGGCATCTTTTTAGCACCACGTTTACTGTTTTAAACAGCTCGGCCGTATCTTATCTTCTGCTCGGCCGAGACAACCTAGCTATCTGTTTGGTCAAGTTTTATCCTCTACTAGGTCGTTCCAATATCAACTCGGCCCGGATAGCCTAGCTACTTGATTTGCTCGGCTGGGATTGCCTAGCTACTTGATCTGCTCGGCCGGATAAGCCTAGTTACTTGCTTGCTCGGCCCTGATAGCCTAGTTACTTGCTCTGCTCGGGCCAGATAGCCTAGCTACTTGCTCTACTCGGCCCGGATAGCCTAGCTATCTGCTCTGCTCTGCTGGATAGTTTAGCTACTTGCTCTGCTCGGCTCGGATAGCTCTAGCTATCTGCTCTGCTCTGCTAGATAGCCTAACTACTTGCTCTGCTCGCCTCGGATAGCCTAGCTATCTGTTCTGCTCGGCTTGGATAGCTTAGCTATCTGCTCGGTCGAATTTTATCCTTTGCAAGGTCATGGTAGAGTCATTGCAAATAACTCTTCTTAGCACGTTCAACGTGCCACGTGTTCAAGTCTAATTGTTAGATGATGATCAGAATTTATCGACCCCTTCAATGGTCTAAAGCATCTCCAACAATAAAAGTTAGTTTAGCTACTCACCTTTTTAATACGCACTCTACCAGATTTTTATATATTTAATTACTTCATTTAAATATTATTTATCATTTTTTTTGTATTATTATTATTTTTTTTTTGAGAGTAGTCAGAGGGAGAGAAAATGAAGGAAATGAAAGGAGAAGAGAAAAAATATTATGAAGTACTTATAAATGTTGTTATAGTGACACTCTAAACAACAAAATGTTATTTTAGATTCTCTGGAGATGTTCTGTTGGAATAGAATTCTAGGATAAAATAACTAAAATTTTGAAGTTTTTGTGTACTTTAGCTCTTCTCTTGGAGACGCTCTTATTAGATGACCAAGAGTAGAACATGCAAAGTTATGAGTTTAGGCTGAAGATCCTTTGCTGTTGAAAAAAACGACGTTTTGATTTAAAACAATTTCATTTTGTTAATTAGAATGATGTCATTTTAAATCAAAACTATGTCGTTTTAATCAACAATGCCTCTGTTGTTAATTTTTAAGACCAGTGGAGCTGTACTCAGTGAGTTTAGATGCTTATGGGATCATTGTATATATAGAAGGGATCATGACTCAATAGGGTAGTTTACGTCTGATATGATCTTGAATGGGTTTTTCTTACGGCGCGATCACTATATCTTTTCTTTTTCTTTATCTCTCATCTATGGAAAGAGGGAAAAGAAGGGAATGATACGTGGTGTGGTATACCTGATTGTTTAGTTAATGAGTTGTACATAAATCGACATAGTCCATGTATATATTCTTTGGAGCTAGAACCAATCAATAGAATGAAATTCAATAATGGTAAACCTAAGGGCGTGACACGAGCATACTAAGTTTTCAGAAGTGAAGAGAGCCCGCGATGTGGTGTTTCATTTTGGTCTACAAGATTATGCATTCTTCGCTGAGGTCGGTTCTTCAGTTTCTTCATAGGGATAGCATAATAACTGTTTAGTACCTGATGTGGTTGATCAAAGGAGTGCAGGTTTCTGCAGCGACTCAATTACCTATTTTACACAGTAAAACTTTTCGATTAAATGCTTGAATATACAGTTTAGCATATGTACAAGACCCGTCAACAGGCCAGGATGGGCCTGTCCAACCTGACAGGTAACTTTGTGGGAGCGGGCTGGGCTGTCCGGCCTGACAGTTAGCTGCATTGTAGCGATGATTTGATCAGGCAAGCCCACCAAAATACTACCACACACAACTACCGTCATGGTCAACCCGAATGGTCCTTTAGCCGGGTGTCCATTGAGCCTGGCGCAACTGGCCATTTGTTCAGAAATTATTTTTTTGAAGTTTCACTGATTAATCTTCAGACCATGAGCCTTCAAAAAAATTAGGACCCATGAACTTTCTCGTTGCGCTATCAGATTGCCTGTGTGATATCGCTTGTCGGGCTAACTAGCTCATCAACTGTTGGATGGCCCTGCTAACAGGATAGTCCGTGGGTCTCAAGCCATTTGCTGAGCGTTACTTATGTCAAACATGCAATAGCTTCAATCTATTGTGGTCTGATAAATGAACTTGCAAGACTTGGGTTGTGCAGTTTCAATCTATTGTTGTTTCCAGCACAACCAGTATCTATAACCTGCTCAATTTGAGAAAATGAATAATGTGCATCTTGATTGCTCTGGCTCAAATTAAGAAGCTTTGGATTAAGTCAGAAATTGGAAGTCTCCTTGTTTGGTGACTGGTGTTATTTGTTGCAGGTGTAAATTCCAATTCTGCTATGCATGTGGGGGAAAATGGAGTGATACTCACAGCGGTTGCCAGGGACAATGATTGCCAGTGGGGTGAGTCGCATGTTTATGGAGATGTTGAATAGCTAATATAATATAGAGGGAACGTTCCTGGCCTCTTCTAGGAACAGAGGCAATCCAGCATACGAGACTTCCATCATATAGAGTTTGGGAAGAATCATATCTACGTAGTTTGCTCTGCTTGGCCAGAGATTGATTCGTGCTCTCGCCTGTTCTATGGGTCTAGTAAATTTTATCCAGAAAGATAAATTTGCATGTTAAATGTTGATATTGTCAAACTGTGTTAGGCCAAGACCTGTTTGTGTTGGTCATGAAGTGCAAATGCACCAATATATGGTTTTCTTCTACTCAATATTCGCCAACATACATCTGAAGTCATTGGTTGATCGAGCCATTAATTCAGCTAAAGAGGCCCTTTGCCATTTTGTTCACCAACATTGGGTTCCCTAAACCTAGCTGGTTCTTTGGCTATGCTTGAAGACTATGTGCTCGGCTTTACTTGTAATTTTGTTTCTGTTATCAAGATGTAGACAATGACTGATCTAATGATGTTCTTGCAAGCTTTCAGAAAGGAAAATGGAAGCCTTATTTAATTTCCATTTTAAAAAGTCTTTTTTTCTTGACCACTAACTAAGTGGTTAAAATTTTTGCCTATTTGCTTTAAAGTTGATGGTTTGAATATGAGAGTAACCTCTTAGTACATGTAATATCTAGATTACCCCTTCGTGCTCGCATTAGTAGGGATGACACATGATTTGAATGATCTATAATAAGCCCTGCCCGAGAAATCATTCAAGGTAAAAAGTTATAACAAAAGAAAATGATAAAAAGGGTAATTCCTCACGTGCCAATAATGGTGAAGAAGGTCCTAAAATGCAACAGTATAAGGGGGGAGAATTGAGAATTGAAAATTGTTGTATGATGCCTAACATTAGGCGTCGATTCACTCATAGACCCCCAAAAATTCTATTTTGTGGTACAGTACAAAAAAAAAAAAAAAAAAACTCCGGTGCCATACATATATCCTATGTTTATTTGTCAATGATTTAAGTTATGCCTTCCGTGATCTTTCTTTTTTGTCTTTTGAATTTTCGTATACTTTAACCATGCTAATTAAGGCCCCCTTTTTTGGAATAAATATGGGGTGTAACGGTGACATTACGTATCATTGTCAATTATAAAATAACAAATAATATTGATGAACCTCACTATTTCAACAGTAGATTGCTGGAGAAATCGGTCCAAACTTTGCGTTCTTGGCTTTCCTTCTTTCTTATACTTGTTTATCTTCTTTTGCTTGATTTCATCTTCCCTTGATTTTTTCCTCTTTTTTTGATTTTTTATCCTTCTGCATGGGTAAAAATCCGTCAATAATTGAAATATGTTGAGGTGCGCCCCTAGCCTTCGAGTATCATCCAATCCGTGAGCTGTAAGGCAGAAAAATGTTAGAGGTACCCTCGACATTGAGCCAAGGGAGGCCCCTCCGATGCCTAAGTCAGTACTGCAATCAATACCTGAATAGGCAAGTGTATAAACTAGAAAAATAATATAGGTGTGTATATGTGAAATATAGAGCCGAGGTGCTCTTACTTGAGGCCCCCTCTTTTTTGGATCTTTACCCATATATATAGAGAAGATTAGAGAATCACTCACAATATTGTACAACCATCCATATAGGGAGATAGGCATGAACTAGCCTACTAGAACACTTATTATCTGTCATATACTTATTGTAGTAGATTCCACTTGTGATATATGTCAATTCACTTATACTCCTTCCTTGGGAGTGGGGCTAGTGGGCCTACCTAACAAATAATGTTTTGTCAAATGCCTTCCAGCTTTTATTTCCTTTGAATACTCAAGAAGAGATGAAAGCTATGCCAAATACTCATGTCTCTAGGGATGCTATCCACACCTTTTTTTGGCGAGGTGCAATTGGAGGGAGATATGCCGAGATCCACTATATGTTGTCAAGTGAGCATGGAGCCTGAATTCAATAGATGATAACCTGTGTAGAGTCTGAATATACTCGTCACTTACAACAGAATACCAAGATCAATAAACGTGAAGCTCAAATATTCTATAGTCAGTGAGTGATATCTCAATAGTTAAGACAATGCATCTGCTTGGTGTCACATATGACATTTCCACAACATACAATAGTCCTAGGTTTGAACAATAACAATAAATACATAAGAAACCCATCGGGCCATGCCATAACAAAGTGCTTATTAAGAGGCCAAATCCAAATGATGAAGATAACCAAATCATGACAGATAAGCTCATAATAGAATCCCATGAAAGATAATAATAGCTGAGTCATGAATGAGACAATCATGAGGCGTCTTCTAATGCAAATAGATTCAACGAGAAAGGTCTATAATAGATGTCGCTGATCCGTTGAACAGAGACCATATAAGCTTAGCCCCTGAAGTGCAACCCAATAGGCCTGAGGAAGAATCGAATAAACCTGGCCCCTAAAGGACTGAATTCAAAGATTCCTGGAAGGGGGACCGAATATAGAGATCTCAAACGTATCTCTTGAGGCCGAGCAATAATGAAGTGCCTTATTGAGGGGTTGAGTGATGGAATACCGAATATAACCATAACAAGCCACTGAAGAGAGTCGAGTCCTGAACAGGACAATCATAACTAGACCTCAACCTCACCCAAACAAGACAATAATCTCTGAACCCCGAGAAGGGTTACTATAATCGAATGCGACAAACGCCAAGCATGAGCGAGCCTAAAGAGGACAATAATAGTCGGCCCTCTGAAGAGGGACCAAATAACCATGACCCTTGAGAAAGATCAAGATAAGTCTGTCCTTGTAAAGAAAGGCTGAATACACTAGGTCCTCTAAAGAGGGATTGAATAATCTTGGTTCCTTTAGAATGTCCATAAAAAAGGCCCGAACATATCTGTTCCTTGGCCTCGACAGTCTCAAGTTTGATGATCAACTGGGTGTTGAGTCTTGCCCTTTCTTATCATGTTCAATTAACATTTAATTGAAATAAATAAAAGCGTACCTTATCGAACTAAGTCTTGAATATATCAAACTCGTAGTTAGGCAATTCAAGGCTCCTTCAGTGAGACTCTTCTCGAGAGGGTCTTCATGTCCGACATGAATGTTGACGCTGGGTCAAGCTTTCCCTTGTAACTATATTACACTAGGTCTAGGGTCTCACCCAAAGTCTCACGTCACCTCCTTCAACAAGGAGTACTCTCGAATCCAAGTCCTTGAACTTGTTCCCAAGAGATTTTATTCCTACATTAAGACTTTTGGTGCTTTGGCCAAGCAAAGGGTTACCCGTGTCTATGGCCCGGAGCCCATCAAATGCCTAATCACATAGGGTTTTGAGTGCTTTGGCCATGGAAAGACTTACCTGTGTTAGAGGTTTGACCCCGAGTCTCATGTCACCTCCTTCAACAAGGACTACTCTTGAGTCCAAGTCCTTGAACTTGTCCCCAAGAGGTTTTATGCCTACATTAGGACTTTTGGTGTTTTGGTCGAGCAAAGGCTTACCCGTGTTCAGGGCCTGAAGCCTACTAGGTGCCCACATGTATGAGAAATTTCTTTGAGACTTGGTCACTATTTCTGCTTGTCTTTGCCGAAAATGGTGATAATCCGTAAGGAGTGATCACAAAATTACCTCTAGACCAATTTTGGGCGATGGATTAAATACTTGGGACCAACCATTGATGCCTATGGATAGGGCTGAGTACCTTGGTATAACAAACTTTCCATATGGCGCTATCTATCACTTGCTTGACTTAAATAACCCAAGAGAATTCTTGAGCCCAAGGACAAACCATAGCCTGATGCTTGTTGTGAAGCCGAGCACCACTTGAAAAGAGTTTCACTCAACTAATACCAAGGTCGAAATAGTGTTGTTAGTTGCAGAGAGACATTCAAGAGAGGAGACAGAGTGAGGTCTCTTGTCTGGAGGGGGTGCCGACCACCACTTGATGGGTTGACCACCCAAAATATTATGGGTTTAGATAATGTCAAGACCTATAGTCGAGGCCAACAATCTGAGAGCTTTGTTCCGAGAACATGTGGCTTCGGGATATATCCCCTCGCTGTGAGCAGTCCCCCGATGTCATGCGAAGGGGACTTTTGCAGCTGAGATACCTTGATGATGCCAAGAAGTTAGATGCTACAAAGTGAGTCTTTGGACAAGTTTAGACTCCGATTGTGCTAGTTTCCAATTAGCTCCAGATTGGTATGCCGACTATCCCCAAGATGTTGCATTTTATTGGCCATAATGTCGATTAATGTACAACAGTTCTGACCACCATTTAAGTGATGTTGAGGATGTTTGTTTCCTCGGGGAAGTGGAATATGTGCTAAGGGATTTCCAAGATGAAGAGCCCGAGGAAAGACAAGCTGGTTTTTAGTCGATGAACAAACTGATCCAAATCATGAAATAGATATTCAGCCTCCATCAAATCTGTTAAGCATTAAGAAGCTCATTATAGTTCAATGGGCATCAGATTAGGGAGACTGGTGGTTGTTTAGAAGCTTTGGCAATCTTCATGATGTTTGACCAAATGCCTGGAGCGATTTCTCTTCGGGGGCGAGCTGTGGGGTCATTATAGTTGTAATTACAAAGACTCAACTGGCTGGAAGTGTTGAGTAGGGAGCTGAGAATCGAGATAATATACACGATGATGGGTCGATTTGAACAAATTAGTTATCCTTTGATGGCGCTGATCAGTATTGCAATGATGTTGAGCATATTTCAAGTGGCTTTGAGCATATTTTCTTGGCTGAAATAGCATTTGGGTGGCAGACTGCCCTACTGGGTATTGTTAAGCCGCCAAATATTTGTCCTTGTGTGCAAAAATGAGTTTTAGATGGGTTGCCATCCTACTGTGACGAAAATTTGAAGCCTGAGGTAGCACTAGTAAGTTAATGTGGTGAGCAGTTCCTCTATTTGTACATTAGTGAGTGCCCAAGTATGTTTATTCCTTTGAAGATACAAAGAAGATGCTACATTCCAAAAAACTTACAAGAGTAGAGAACCCGAGCAACGATGGATAGATCAAGTAGTTGGTTTTGGTTGGTGGGTTGATCATTTTGGGGCTTAAGAAGCTGAGAGCTCCCCGACGAGTGCAAACCACCAATGTGTCAAGAATATGGCCCCCGAGAGCTAGACAGATAAAGTGATTAGTCATAAGTGAGAAACTTGTTCTAGCTAGGTCTTGTTGATAGCTTTCTTTGACCAAAGAGATTATCATAGCAGGAGATAGAAAGTGCTCTATTTTCTTGGAGTCATATTCAGCGGTGATAATAGCCAATTCTTCGATAACGTTGATAAGAGGAATTTCTTGTCTTAGTAGAATAAACCCTGACTGCACGAGTCAGGGTCATGTTCCTTGAGTGCTTGGGGAACTGTTCATATAGAGCCAACGTTTAGTGGTGGACTGATCATTCTTCTACCTTCGTTGAAGAATTGGTCTCTGGTTGATAGGCCACCCACTTCTCACAGAATGCCTGACCATTTTCTAAATGCCCAACATTTGCTCTATGAAGGGATTCTTGCAACTAGTTTGGTGAATGCTAATTCAAGACACACACCAGCACACCAAGAGTATAACTATCTTGGATTTGAAGCTTGCTATGTAACTTGAGGCATCCATTGAAGGCCGAGTCAACCATTATTGGTGTCGGCCGACTAATTTGGCCCTGTTCATGCTAGCGTTTGGACCATAAATGGTTGTGATCTGTTGTTGGTGTGATGCACACCGAAGTTGTTGTGGGTTTTGCATCAAGATTATCTTGGAGAGCTTTGGGAGAAGTCGGTCATGCCAACAGCTTCTCAGAATCTATGGTGGTGCTTGAGACGAATCACCACTCCCTGATCTTCTCAAGTGTGCCAACGTTAGACCCAAATGCAAGCCCTGCAATACTCAAGAACAAAGAGAGTTGTCCTTTTCTTTAATAGAAAGCTTTATTTCTTTCCTTTCACAATATTTACTAGTGGTCAACACTCAACAGTGCCTAGATTCAAAAGAATTCTTTTGTCACAGGTGAGCACCGCAAACAATGCTATTTGATTGCCTTTATGCTCTGGAATACATGTGTAAGGTCATTATGTGTTGTCACTGTTAAGTGCTACTTAGAGCAAAATGTGCAGTCATACTAGCCTTGCTAGTGGCAAAGCTCACTTGACCCACTGAAGTGGGTCTGTCAAAGTAAGGTAAACCAAGACTTGTTTTTTTTTTTTAACTTAAGCTTATATAGTTTCGTTCATAGAGAATCCTGAGCTTAAGTCGGCATCTGAGGCTAGACCGAACTATACAAATAGCATTATTCGAACTTCGTTAAAATATATGAGGAAGGAAACCACTTATCTCTGCACTTGTCAAACTGTTTGCACGGAGATATAACATAACAGGCATTCTGAAGTCTGTCGACATACAAAATAATGAAAATGGTACGTCAGAGCTCCTGAGTTGAACAAATATAGAGGCCGAGCACCTCCTTATAGATTCTTAGGTCATTTTGTAATGACAATGATACCCTAAATGTTCCCACTGCCGAGGCCTTGCATTTCTTTATGGGTATAGATAACTTTGATAGAAGAGCATTACTTATAAAAGTCCAAATACTGGTACTAAACTACGCGAAGGCTTTCATGGTGAGGCCTTCTAATGATATCATATTCCATGTCCTATCAGTGCGTAAATATCAAACACTGAATTGTGTCCACCCCCATAAATAAAGTAGGAAATTCCGAACTTGAAGATCACCGAGCTTTGTGGACCAGCCAAATAAATGTAATGGAACTTCAAGAATAAGACTTAGGACCAACTATATTCATGCAGAAACCTTTATGGTGGGTCATGCAGTAAACATGATTCTATACTTCTAAGCATCTGAAAGGAAGACTGAGTGCTATAACTCGAAAGACCGAACTCCAAAAGTTTGATCAAATGCAAGGGAGCGAGATGCATAAGTGATATCAAGCTTGAGCCGGGCTCACGAGCCAGATGATTCATAGATCTAGGGGACACACATGCTTCGTTTTCCACAGATGGCGCCAAATTGTACAGGTAAAAATCTGTCAATAGTTGAAATATGTCGAGGTGCACCCCTAGCCTTCGAGTAGCATCCAATCCGTAAGCTGCAAGTTAGAAAAAGGTTAAAGGGACCCTCGATGTTGAGCCAGGGGAGGCCCCTCTAATGCTTAAGTCAGTACTATGATCAACACCTGAATGAGCGTGTATAAACTAGAAAAATAATATTGATGATTCACAAAATTGTCTTGTGCAAGATCGACAGTCAAGAAGGTGAATAGGAGCAATCAATGAGCAACAAGCAATCGATGGCAAAAATAGTAAATAAGAACTCAGAGATTTATAGTGGTTCGGTCTTGAATGACCGACTCCACTTTTGGGAATGACAGCGGTGGCCAGTGTTCTTTATTGATGAGTGATGGTACTCTGAAGAGTTACAGTATTTTAAGGGAGAATAAGAGAGAGCAGTGTGTATAAGAGTGGGTGTAGAGGTTTTGGAGGCCCTCTCTCAATGTTGAGAGGGCTTACATTATATAGCTAGGGTAAGCTAGCAGAGGCAATGACGTGAGGGAGAAGAATTTTATTGCTTTGACAAGTATTGTTATGGTAGGAGATCTTCTATGCCTATCTCCAGATTATCTTCCCTCATACTTTTATTCATCCGGAGGAGAGCATTAGTTGGATTGAGCTTGACCCTTGTCTTGGACTTGGACTTGTCTTAAGTAGGCTTGGCTTGGACTCGGATTGGAGTACCAAGGTGAAGAGGAACAAGAGGAGGGGCGCCTAAGGGCTCCCTCATCCTCCTCCTACTTTGGTCGTTGGCTTTTAGTGCTATCCTCTTGGTGTCTTCCTCAATGGGTTGACATTGGACGCTTCTTTGGGCTTTCTCGATTTATTTAAATTGGGCTTGGCCCAATAAAATTCGAGCTCGTCATTTGCCCCCCATGCCCTAAGCCTCTAAATTTCAGTGAGAGGAAGGGGTTGTGTGCATGTGCTACAACTGCACCGGAGTAAGTCAGATTTTTCTTGTATTTCTTTCGGTACCATAACAAGTTCATGGGAATTAGGAGTTCAAACAGTTATGGAGGAGAGAAGCGAGGAGGAGTCCACACCCTTGATATCATAGGAGACTCCCATGGAGGTGCTTTGGGCGGCGCCCACGTTGGAGATGGGAGAGGTGAAGAGGGCTTCAATGGTGCTCCCTTGGAGAAGCAGCTGAAGAATCCGAGGAAGCACTTGGTGGGTGACGCTCATGGTGTGCATGTGAGCTGCTGGGCGGTGCCATGTGGCTGAGGTGGGCGCCCAGGCAATGAGGCAGGTGCCCAAGGCAAGAGGTAGGCGCCCAAGGGCGAGAGGGACTGCTAGAGCATTGAAATTCGGTAAAACTTCGAACGACCATAACTTTGCGCACGGGAGTCCGTTTGAGGCGAATGATTTTTTTGAATTCAAATATTTTTTCGAGATCTACGACATACAAGCAATTGAAGGCAATTTGGTCAGCTAATTTTCCCAAAAAATGCTTCTATCCCTCTGAATTTGAGTTTTTAGCACAATTCAGTGAAACTGATCGATTTTTTTTATATATATCCTCGTCTATAAATAGAGGTCACTGTTCATGTCTTGCTCATTCTTCTCCCCTTCCCAATTGTTCTGTCCAAAGGCTGCCTCCTCCAAGCTTCTTCAAGGAGTTGTTCAGTCAAGCTTCCTTAAGAAGCTTCACACCAAGCTTCTTTAAGAAGCTTTAGCAAGGCTTCCTTGAGAAGCCATTCTGCCTCTCTAAATAGGCCATTTCAAGAGTTCATTATTCAACACCCATACCACCTTCATTACTCAAACCCATCTCCCATCATTCAATATCCATGGAAACCAGGAGTTCAAGGAAATTGGGCAAAATGTCGAAGAGTTCTAAGGGGTTGGTCTGAGGACCAGGCGGCTCCAGTAGTTAGGTGGGTGGCACCCATGATGGTAGAGGGGTAGTGGGTGGCACCTATGGAGTGGAGGTGGGCGGCGCCTCTTTGCTTGTTGTTGGTTCCCAAGCTTTGGGCAGTGGAGTCGAGGAACAGAGAGGAGAAAATAGAGGCAGTGCCCACACTTCAAGCGGCATTGGGTATGATGCAGGCGAAAGAGTGCTTGGCCTTGTCGAGGAGCAGCATAGAAAAAGTGCACCAGAGGTCCCTGTGGGCGGCGCCCAGGCCTCAGGCGACGCAAGGGCTTGGGTGATCTCCCTTCAGACTTCGGAGGCTTGGGACTTTCTCCTCGTGGTGGTTTTGGCGTGGCCTGGAAAGCTGGTGAGCGACCCTTCGAAACTATTAGTACGAGATTTGGCACGAGCAAAAAGGCTTCAATTAATCCATTTGGTGCATCGAGAGGGACCC